CGGAACCCACCGCCCCCCACCCAGTTCAAGCCGCCCCACGCTTCCCCACATTCATTGGGCAGTCTCACCGCACTGGCTTTCTGCTCGATCTGCGTCGATGAGTCCTTGCCATCCGCTCGCAGCCACCGCGGGGCCAACCTGCGGGCCGACGACCACGTCTGCGTGAAAGGACTGGCCTGTCGTCTGAGGCTCTCGCCCCGCCGGCGGGCTGGCGGCACCTCTTCCGAGCGGCAACCTGGCTCTCGACCGCGGCGCCGGGATGCCGAGGAGAAGACGCACGTACAGCCCCGCTGAGGTGAACCATCCTCTGGCGGCGGAGTCGAAAGACTCGCCGCTGCAGATGTGAAACTCTGTCCACTGCGAGACGTCACCTGACACCAAAGGTTGCCCTGAGACAGGCATGTGGAAGTTCCCCTGCTTGACGCGCCTGTGGACGACGTTGCAACCTCCCAGGCCTGACAACCGAAGCGCGACTCCGCGGTGAGGGCCCGCCTGCGTGTCCTGGATCACGCCCGCCGACTTCGCAAAAGGAAGGAGTACGTCGCTCAGGACAAATCGCAGCAGGAGCCGCTGCACGTACAAACTCCACCGCGCACCACTTCAGCGTGCAAGTGGCCGAGAAAGCCTGCTCTCAACAAAGTGTCGCGACCGAAACACTCCGACTCGATGTTCCAATCGCCTGCGACAGTGAAGGGCAAGCGTGACGAACGAATCACCTGAAGAAGCGACGCGAGCAGCTCAGCGCTGCCCGCCTGGCCCACACTGCAGATGCCGTAGATCGAAGCGAACAGCACCTGCACGTTGCCGGGCATCGCGCGCTGGAAGAACAGCCTGTTCTTGTAGCATTCCTGATTCGGCTCGTAGGCGCTAGCCGCCAACGCGGTCGAGCTGGCGATGCCTCCTCCACGCGTTGCCGTTGCATGTGGCCAGCGTGAGATTGCTGCTGCCCTCGGTCTGGCTGGGCGGCGCACCATCCGCTGCCCGCCTCAGCGAGGCCGCTGCCGCCGATGCCGAGGTGGTGGCCGAGGGTGGACTCGACGGCCAGGTCGAAGTGGCCCCCCCGGGCGCGGCGCGCGACTCCGGCTCATTGGCATCAGCCAGTTCCTCTCCGTCGGCGTAAGTCGCACAAGCGCAGCTCCGCGTGTGGCAGAGTCTGACCGGCCCTCCGCGCGCGACTGGTCGCACAGCCCTTGACCGAGAAGGCGGGGGCCGCGAAGATGACGGTGTGCTTGGCATTGTCCCCCTCGCCCTCCGAGCACGCTGCACAGCGCGAAACCGAAGTGCACGCGGCGCATGGGTGCTCGCATCCTCCAGCGATTCACCTGGGAGCGAGACTCCCTCACGGTCTCCCGCGCCGCCGCCGCGGGGGCGCGCGAGGGGCTTTGAGTTCCCAGGTGTCTCCACTATCCCAGGACGTTCCCTCGCGCCCTTAGACGCAGCGCGCGGAAGAGAAGAAGCCGCCGCCTTGAGCTTGATCGCGCCCTCCTGCAGCCTGCAGTGGACGACGAAGCCTGTGGCAAACTGGATGCCACATCAAACGAGCTGGTGCAAGACTCGTGAAAGAAGTCGAACCTGGCGTCCGAAAAAGCACGTTCTGTGTGAACGGCAGGCACCTGGAAGCCTACTCCCCAGTGCGCGTCACTGACCTGGTTGTCGAATTTGACCCGGCGCTGCAAGCCCAAGGAGAATGCGCGCAGCGACTCATTGTGGAAGCGCCCCCCCCCCGCTGCCAGACACAACCCTGGTCGGGGGGCTCACTAGGGCAAGTGCCGAGCCTACCCAGCAAACAGGATAGCACGATAGCCATGCTTCGCCAGGGTCTCCGCCTTGGCCATGACCATCTCGTCGCCCCTGTCGTCCGAGGCACCTTCTCGATGCCATCCCTCTCGGGGCCCCGGTGCTCCAGCTTCGCCGTCTTCGCGCGCGGCTCCTCGCAGGCGTCCTCCTGCGAGCCAGCAGGAGCTCCCTCATTGGGAGGGCCGCCAGGAGCCGCAGCGACAGCCAGCGCCTTGAGCAGCCGCGGGGCCACAGCCTGTTGATCGCTGACTCCTTCGATGGTGCCCAGGAGCTCGACCAACGCGGACGTGTCCAGGTCGGTCTCGAGCCGCTGCAGCTCAGCTTCCAGGTTGGCGTAATTAGTCCGCCTCCTTGTTCTCGAGCGTGTGCTCGGCCAGCCGACCGCGTCGGTAGCCTCCCTGAGCACCTCCTGCGCCTCTGACAGGTCCAACGTGTGGCCTTGTCGCGAGACTTTCCGGCAGCTTCTCCACCCGACGTGACACGGCGTTGAGCTTGGCTGGCAGCGGCTGCTTGTCGTAAAGGAGCTTGCGTTGGGACTCCATCTACGCGCGGACCCGCTTGGCCTGCTCCGACACCCAGCCGCTGGACATAGTCTCGAGCCCTTTGAGATGCTTTTCCAACTGGTTGAGTTCCTCACGGATCTGATCGTCATCACCTGGCTCGCTTACAGGATCGGACGCATCTCGTGCTCCTGCGTCCGCCTGGGAGGAGGCGGGAGGAGGCGGGAGGAGGAGGCGCGAGGAGCAGGAGCAGGAGGAGCAGGAGGAGGAGGAGGAGGAGGAGGAGGAGGAGGAGGAGGAGGAGGAGGAGGAGGAGGGGGGGGGGGGGGGTCCCCTCCTCCCCTCCGCTGACCCCCGCTCTTCCCCGCTCCCGGCTCCCCCCTGCCCCCCTCCGGGCCTCCCCCCCTCCGCCCGCCGGCCCCCGCCCCCCCCCCTTCCTGCCGCTCCCTCCCGCCGCCTCGGCGCTCCTCCCGTGCGCCGCGTTTTGCCCGGCCCTCCCGCGTTGGGTTCTCGCTTTGAGCGAGGCGCGGTGGTCGCACAGCTCCTCCTCCTTCCTCCTCCTCCTCCTCCTCCTCCTCCTCCTCCTCCTCCTCCTCCTTCCTCCCTCCTCCTCCGCCTCCTCCTCCTCCTCCTCCCTTCCTCCTCCTCCTCCTCCTCCTCCTCCTCCCTCCTCCTCCTCCTCCTCCTCCTCCTCCTCTCCTCCTCCTCCTCCCTCCTCCTCCTCCTCCTCCTCCTCATCCTCCTCGCCTCCTCCTCCTCCTCCTCCGCCTCTCCTCCGCCTCCTCCTCCTCCTGCTCCTCCTCCTCGCCCCCCCCCCCCCCCCCTCCCCTGGTCGTTTGCTGCAGATGGGTTGGGCACGTCGCCGGGCAATGTGTCTGTGCTTGGCTTGCTTCCTGCAGCCAGCACGCTCCCCGAGGAGAAGGAGAAGAGGGCTGCCAATTCGCCCTCGCCGTTCTCCTTCCCGCACGCCGCCGCCACGCCGCCTCCCTCCCCCCTCGGGTTCCTCATCCTGCCCTTCCCTCCTCGTTCACCCTTCTCCGCCTCCCGACGCCATCTTCCTCGTCACTTCTTCGTCGGCGTCTGGCGGGGGGTGCGGGAAGGGCCGTGCCTGTGCTGGCAATAGCGCGTGGCTCCACGTGGCAGTCCTTGTCGTTTACAACAGGTTGTGCCGCTCGGTCCTGAAGATTCACTTTGGTGTGCGTCACATGATTGACAATCGAACTTCGGGATTGCATCGCGTATGCGATGAGCTCCCTGCGAATGGTGTTGCCCGCATGGCTGGCTCCCTCTCTTCCTCCCGGCCGCGGTCCTCCCTCACTCCCTCCCCCGTTCCTCCCTGTTCCCTCCTCCCTCCCCCCGCTCCTTGTCCTCCCTCCCTGGTCCCTTGGTTCCTCCCCGCGTTGTGTTCCTTCCTCCCTGGCCCCCTCCTCAATCCTCTTCTCCTCAGCCCATCTGCTCTCCCGCTTCCCTGTTCTTCTCCCCATGCTCCCCCTTCTCTCTCATCATCCCGCCGCCTCGTTGCCCTCCGCCTTCTCGTCGTCCTCCTCCTCCGCTTTCTCCCTCGTGGCCATTCTCCAGTGTCCTCCTCGTTCTTGTTGTCGTAGTCGTCCTCCTCCTCGTCCTCCTCCTCCTCGTTCTCCTCCTCCTCCTCGTTCTCCTCCTCGTTCTCCTCCTCCTCCTCCTCCTCCTCGTTCTCCTCCCGCCTCCTCCTCCTCCTCCTCCTTCTACTCCCCTTCCTCGACGACCCCCCTGGTTCCTCCTTCTTCTTCTCGTTTCCGCGGCCGGGGCTCAAGGTGTTTTTTTCTTATCAGCGACGTTTTTGCAACGCTTCCGCTTGTGCAAGATATTGGGATGCTTTATTCTGGCCTATGGAAGACGACTCTATCGGTCAGGTTTTTGTTTTGGCCACAAAGTCTTTTCGTCTCTCATTCTAGTATTGTGGTACACGCTATAATGGTCTTCTGACGGCTGCTCATTCTCTTTGGCGTATTCTCTCTACTCCCACCCGAAGGAGACTGCGTCAGGCGTCAGATGGGGGTTACTTGTCAGGTACTGCGCCACTTCACTATCCCGTGGGCAGAGTCGTTTTTGGGTACTCTGGGTGCGGAGTTGCACGATGCCTTCCCTGAGTGTGCCCTCCTGCGCCCTACGGTGGTTTCGCGGTGTTCGAAGCGTCTCCCTCAATCGCCAGGCACCTGAGTTCAAGCCTCCTCACTCGGCATTCGCCTCAGAGGCTGCGCAATATCTGTCGGTCCCTGTTGTGCTGCCGTATGCCCAGGATGTCTACGACCAGCAAGTTGCAGCATACCAGGGCCCGGCTGACTCTCAACGTGATTCCATGGCGCGACTCCGTGGTGTGCTGGATCAACTCGCAAAGAAGCAAAGCGTGGTTTCTTCTTCCCAGTCAGCGGGCAGTGCGGATGAGGCGGAGGGCCCCGATCTTGCCAACCGTATTAGCGCCCTTGAGGCTCAAGTGTCCTCCCTCGTGTATGGCTCTTCTTCGTCGGCGTCTGGCGGGGGTGCGGGAAGAGCCGTGTCTATGCTGGCAATGGCGCATGGTTCTACGTGGCAGTCGTTGTCTTTTACAACATGTTGTGCCGCTCGGTCCTGAAGATTCACTTTGGTGTGCGTCACATGTTTGACAATCGAACTTCGGGATTGCATCGCGTATGCGATGAGCTCCCTGCGAAGGGTGTTGCCCGCATGGCCGGTTCCATTCGCGATGTCTACCAGTCTCTCTCGACCATGGTCCAGTGCTCCATTCAGGATGTTGTGAAAACGCCAATTGGCTCTGCATTGTCTCGTGGCGTGGAAGGCAGGCTCCTAAAAGTTTCGATGTTATTCAGATGACTTTGCAGACGTTCGATTGCGAACTCGCTGCTTCCGTCGGGCAGCTTCGCGAGCTGCATTCCACGGCTGCTGAGGCCATGCGCCTCATGGTGGATCGGCTCAAGCCCCGCGAACAGCGGGCGGAGGAGACGATTGCGAAGTTCCATTGGGCGCTGCATAATGGGGGGTCATACATGGGGGGATGGCGAGTGGTCCGAAAAGGTACCCAAACGGTCCCTAAACGAGCCCCCTGGGGCTCTGGAGGGCACCCGAAGGGGGCACGAAAGGGAACCGTTTCTGACCCCCCCCCATTCATGACCCTCCCATTAAGCCACGCCCAATTCCAGTCTGCCCCCCAACCCACGCCTTCTGACGGTGCTGCGGCGCGCGACCGCTCTTCTGACGGGGGGACCCTCGACGTCGCGGGCCTGTTGCTACGGCCAGGCATTCACCATCCACCACACCACCCCAGCCCAACCCGAAGGCTCAGATTTACCCTCGATTTCTAGTGGGGGGGGGGTCCGGGACCATCGAAATAACACATGTGGAGCCCATACCCCCCCCAACCCGAATCTCGGGTCCTCGGGTTGGGTTGGGGTGGCCTGGTGGGTAGTCAGGAGTGCCGTTGGAGCGACGGCCGCCATGGTCATCCGGAGGGCCGCGGTCGGGGCGCCTCGGCGGCGGGCCGGGCGGACGATGGCCCGGGGCCCTCCCGCAGCGAGCCCGGAGCCCTTCCCCGCAGGGAGGCTCGTGCTCGGCCGGCAGGCTCCACACGAAGGTCGACGGCGGCGCTCCCGCGGCGGAGGTCCAGGATCTGTGGGCGGAGGATAGGACTCCTCCTCCTCCTCCTCCTCCTCCTACTCCTCCTCCTCCTCCTCCTCCTCCTCCTCCTCCTCCTCCTCCTCGCACTGCTACGTTGGGAGCGCTGCCGGAGTCAGACGCGGGCCGAGCAGTTCGCACCTGGGCCTCTTCCTCGCGGTCTGCGTGTTCGTGGGCCCGGCTCTCTCCTCGTAGACTTGCGGCTATGTTTGTTCCTCATCCTGGTCTTCGTCTTCCCCGATATTATCGTTTGCAGTGGCTTCTTCTTCTTCTCCGTCTACGGGATATAGACCGGGCGTTATCTTCGTTTACTCCCTGCTCTTGTCCTCCTCCATCGTGCTCTTTTTCCTGGTTGAGATTATGATTTAAGGTGTTCTGCCTTCTCTCATTCCCTGTGTTGCGGGGGAGCGGCTGCATGTGTACAAGGCAATTATTTCCTAGGCACGCTCCTCATCTTCCTCGTCCTCCTCCTCATTTTCCTCGTTGCCGTCTTATTCCTTTGTTTTTGGACCCGATCCTGCCCCCCCCCACCCGATCGCGACTCCGCGCAGGAGGCAGGTGGAGTCGGGCGCGTGGTGCAAGCGGACCAACGAAGACGGCGTCGACCTCAACAGGACGAGCCCCCGTTGAGAGGAGGAGAACATGGGGGGAGGAGGATAACCCGAACCCCCCGATAATAATTGACCCCCCCCCTTTCTCACCTGACAGTTGATTATCCCGGGCCAATGCAGGTTTGGTCAGGGAAGAGAGACGGCAAGGCCGAACTCTTTGATCGCGGGGGAAAGTTGCGAATCGAGGTTGCTCTCGTCTTATGTGGGAGGCGACGGGGAGGAGTCGGAGCAGGAGGAGTGCCGCGGGCGCGCGGCCGATCGCCACAGCTGCGCGCCGCGCCGCCGCCCGCAGGCCGTGACAGGCCGGGAAGGCGGGCAGCTGGACGGCATGCGAGGAGGCAGGGTGCGCCGCAGGCTCCAACGCGCCGTTCGCTCCGACGCGCCTGCACATCATAGCTAAGGCCTTGAAACCTTCGCACTGTCGTGGGCGCCGTCACATCCTTGTCATGGCCTTCGTCATCGTCCTTCGCGTCATCGCTGGCGCCTTCACCGACGGATGCTCCGGAGGGGATCGGCTCTTCGGTCACTCCTTCATCACACATGTCGCCGCGCCGACGCGCGGCCTTGCGTCTTGGGGAGGGCGCCGCGGCCATCAGGGCAGACGCCGCCTCGGGCGCGGTGGAATCGCCTCTGCCACGTGGCGGCGTCGTCTGCTTGGGGTGCGGTTGCCCGTGGTTCGCCGTCGGTTTGCAGCGGGTCTGCCGTGGGTTTGCCGGGGTGCCGGCGTCGTCCACCTGGGCGCGTTCAAGACAAACGGCGCGGCGACATATCAAGAATACGAAGCAGAAGACGAAGCAAAAGGGGGTGCAGGAGAGGTTCGATGGTGGGTGGTGGTGGGGAAAGTGGGATTGGAAGGAGGGGGGGATGGAGATGGGGAAAAAGGTCTGCGTAAAAGGATGCGCGCGCCTGGTTATCCACCGTGAAATGAGGAAGTCGTTGAAGGACGACGAGGATGAAGGGTCGGATAAGGAGGAGGAAGGAGGCGAGGTAGGAGGGTATGGAGCAGGAGCTTAGTGCATCTGGGTGTACGGCGTGGCCGAGCTGTTATGATTAGGTATTGGCTTGAGCGGTTGGGTCGAGACCTTCGACGCGAGGAGTGGTCGGTCTTCCTTCCATCCCCACACCTCCTCTCGGGCGGGGCCTGGGCAGGCATTGATCGTTAAGGCGCGTTCTGAAATGCTCTCAGAGCATTTTGAGAAGGCCGCGGCGCCCCATACATCGTCCAGAACAATCAGATATCAGAGGTCTCCGATGTGTCCTGGTCCGATATTGCCCCTGTCCTGGCCTCTTACTATCCCCCTCCACGTCCTCCAGCGCCTCCTCTGCCGAGGAACTGGGGAGACCAGCACCGGGACGCGGTGCACGACGTGCCTGGCGACGAAGGGGAGAGGGAGGAGAGGCAGGAATAGGAGGAGGAGGGGGCGATGGTATCAAGGATGGGGAAGAGGCCCAGGAGGAGGAGGAGGAGGAGGAGGAGGAGGAGGAGGAGGAGGAGGAGGAGGAGGAGTGGAACTCGGACCATGAGCAGGGCCACGAACAGCTGCATCCTCCTCTTTCTCCTCCTTCCGTGTTTTCTTCCTTGCTGCCCTCCCCGCCTCTCCCGTGCCTCGTGCAGGAGGTAGGGCAGGAGGAGGGGTGGATGATGGTACGTAGGTGGAGGGAGGGAGCAAAAGGAGGGGGAGGGGACAACAAGGACCGGGGGGGTCCGTAGCAATTTCGTCTCAAGTTCGAAGCCCGTGTCTCGGGGCTTCGAGGTGAGGCCTCCGCCGCCGTGCGACAAAGATCGGGGGGGCGCCCGACGCAGCTCAGACCCTTGTCGGTGACGAGTTCTGGCTAGGCTTCGGGGGCCGCCCGCATGTCTGGCAGCAGAGACGTATTGCCGGGTGCCATACAAGCAGTTCTGGGGGTGCACGGAGTGCCACATGAAGGGCAGTTGGGCGCCTCGGATCAAGTGTGGAAGCACAGCGCTGGCCGAGCTTGCCGAAGCAGCCAACAACAGCACGATAAGGTCGTGCCAGGTGATGGTCGTCAGGTCGATCGTGGGCCGCAGGGCAAATGGAAGGAACCGTGATCGCCGGACCCCACGCTCATGATCACCCGCGAGGGTCTCGAATTGAAGCTGGCTTCGGCCCCTCCATGGGCTGTGGCGGCCCAATTCGGATCGATTGGCGAGGATGAGGATGGCCACGCCAGGGAGGTCAAAGATGTCAAAGGAAGTTGGTTTGCAGACGATGCTGACGACAGGAATGGCGGAAAAGCAATGGGAAACTCGTCAGAAGCACATGCACGACTCGAAGCCGTGGCACGTTCGCCCGTTCTCAACCTTTTACCAGGCACTGGAGGGGCACAGGAACGGTGGTCAAACTGCAGAGCCATGTGGAGAGGGCGTCCAAATAAGTCGAGAGACCACGAGACACATGTGGCCAGAGAAGGGCGGACTACATCAGATGTGCGGTGGGATCTCGATACACTTTCTTCTATTCGTTCGGGTCAATTTAGTGTACACGCGGTGAGAGGCTCTTTTGATGGAGGCAAAAGCCATGCCCGAGAAGGAGCTGGAGGAGGCAACAGTCGCTCTGGAGGGATCCAGAAGGCGAGTCGATCAGCTAGAGCAGGAGGCTAGGGAGTCGCTCGCAAAGGGAAGTGGCTCGAGTGGGAAAGGACCACTGCTCAAGATGGAAGAGCAGCTCCTCGTGCCAGCCAGTCGTTCAGGGACTTGCTCAAGCAGCCGAAGGATGATGAGACCGGCGCAGCTCACTTGGGCAAACTCTGACCCTTCTTCGGGGCCCAGGCGATTGCAGGAGGGACGGAAGAGCATCCAGCTGGTGATGGTCAAGCGATTTCCGTTGCTGGTGATGACGACGATGACGATACGGGCCCGACGACGTGATAAGATGTCCGAAGTGGCTGGGGCAGCACAGGCAGCGGCAGAGGCAGCGGCAGCTGCCAGCAAGCAGCGGCCCGACGACGATGCGGGTGAGCGGTTGCGTGGTGCAAAGCGCATGCTCGAGGAGCAGCGGACAGCCATGGGACAGAACAAGCAGTGAGTTTAACGGCAATGACTTCGACGCTTGGGTCATGGGCGAAGTGGGGATCCATGGCCTTGGCACGGATGGTCCCTCGATCCCAGGGTCTTGGCTACAGGATCCTGACCGTTTGGGTGGTGTTTGCGTTGGCTACTCTGGTTGGCTGAGCTTCACGTCTCTTCTTGATTATTGACATGGCACGGGTGGTGATGTGTTCCGACCTCTACCTGTGCCTCGGGTGCAAGGGGGTCCGCGTTAACACGTCAGGGCCAGCGCCTACTGAGCTGAGCCCCGAGTCAAAGCAGCCACTTGCTGGACCGTTTGGGTGTAGTGCTGGCTAGCACCGCGGGCCAGTGCCTACTGAGCTGAGCTTGAGGTCGCAGTCGCCCCATGCTGGTTCAGAACGGGCTAGTGATAGCACCCTTGGGCCAGCGCCTGTTGAGCTGAACCCAGGGTTACAGTCGCCACATGCTGGATCAACGGGGGGTCCCGCGGCACCCTGTTGCCAGCGCCTACTGAGCACGGCACCAGGTCAACTGCGGCGAGTGCGACTGGAGTCACGAGCGTTTCGCCGAGTGGACGCGCTGTTGCTGCACCTGCGGCACCAGCGCCGTCTGCGCGCGCCAGGACTGCCAGCCGTTGGAGTGCCTGGGAGATGGCGCCGGAATGGAGGTTGGGCCCAGGCCTCACGAGGCCCGGGCCGCACTTCCGCACGGGCCAAGAAGCGCGAGTGCTGCGTCCCAGCGACATTTCCAAGTACATCAGAACTCTTCGGGGGAAAGGTATCAGCGCCGATTTCTGCCAAGCAGTGGCCGCGGGCGAACGTGCTCTGGCCAACTCTGCTGGTGTGCCTGCTGGAGGCATAACGCGCGTCAACCATCTCGCGACTGTGCCGGCCCGGGCTGCTGAGTTGCCGGCAGCAGCGGGTAGGGTCATGGTCAGTCACGTCCAAGTTGTAGTGCCCAATGGGTTCGCACGTTTATTTGTTCATTTCCACCGCCGTGTTTGTGCAGTGTTGTGCTTCTGGCTTCTGTGGGCAGATGTCAGGAGGGGCCCCCGGTTCCCTGGTTCGTTGGGTGCGATGCGCACGCGGGCCAAAAGTGCGACGGCATGCGCGCGTGGTCTTCCCGATTGGGAGCGGCGGCGGCGGCTGCTCATGCGGCTGCTTGCCCGGCTGGTTCAGGGCCAAATCTGATTGAACCCGTGACTGGAAAGTGTCGACGCGACGCTCGAGGCCCCGATCTCCTCGCGCAGCCCAGCGGGGCTCTGGCTTGGACTGTCGTTGGCAATCCCAGTTCACGTTAGAGTTTCCTGGAACAGATTTCCCACGCAGCTTCAGATAGATTGGCTGAGATCTCCTGAGGGTCGGTTTTGGGATTGGGAGGGGGGGTGGCGGGGCGTCGACGGGGGTGAGTTGAGGGATTCCTGGGGCGAGCGGCCGACGATCGCGGGGTCGGAGCTGCGCCGCGCGCTCGACGCTTGCGGGGGCGAAAAACACAACTGCATGGGTCGGCCAGTTGGGCGCGCGTGTAAGAGGCTTGCCCCTGAGGCATTTCCGAGGGTGGCCGCGTCGAAGCTCAGAGCGTGGCGTTCACTGGCACCGCTGCTGGCAGAAGCGGAGGTCTGCGCAGGGCACGATGCGAGGCGTTGCTGCTGCCTCCGGTCGCGGGATCGGCTTCCCTCCCCCGCTGCCCGCTCGGCCCAGGAGCGCCTGGCTCGTCGGGCCCCTCGGCGCGGAGGGTCGACGCGGAGGGGGGGCGGGCCGAGGGGCCCGCCTCCAGGGGGGCGAGGCGGCCCGCGCCCCCCCCCCCTCGGGACACAGGTGCCGCCGTCGGGCAGGGGCCCGGAGAGGGCCGGGAGCGGAGAAGGTGGAGGAGGAGGAGGAGGAGGAGGAGGAGGAGGGAGGAGGAGGACGAGACGAGGAGGATGTGAGGATGAGGAGGAGGACGAGGAGAGGAGGAGGAGGAGGCGGAGGAGGAGGAGGAGGAGGAGGAGGTGGAGGACGAGGACGAGGAGGAGGAGGAGGAGGAAGAGGAGAGGGCGACGACGCCATCGGAGCCCTCCTGCGCGATCGGGGCCGTCTGCCGGGGATCCGGGGCGCGGCGTTTCGGGGCTCTCGGAGGCGCGGCGGGAGAAAGGCAGGGGGTCTGAGCCCCAGGCCGGGTCCTCTGGAGGGGGGAGTTGGGCTTTGGGCACTTGCCCGGGAGCCGATTGCGCGAGCCTTCACTCCTCCTCCTCCTCCTCCTCCTCCTCCTCCTCCTCCTCCTCCTCCTCCTCCCTCCTCCTCCTCCTCCTCCTCTCCCTCCTCCTCCTCCCCTCCTCCTCCTCCTCCTCCTCCTCCTCCTCCTCCTCCTCCTCCTCCTCCTCCTCCTCCTCCTCCTCCTCCTCCCCCTCCTCCTCCTCCTGCCCCTCCTCTGGAGGGAGCCGATTGCGCGAGCCTTCACTCCTGGACAGCTCTGCTTGGCGCGTGCTTGCGCGGGCTGGTGGATGTCAGGATGACCTGGGATAAAGGGGCGCATGTGTATTACAAGGCCATTTCCCGCGGTCGTTGCGTTCCAGGACAAGCCTGGGGGTGATTGATTGCGCCCGTTGGTCTTGATACTGTCGCTTTCCAGTGTCTGGGGGAGGGTGCGACAATGCGAGGCCAGTGCTTGGGAAGACAACGGCGGTGCCTGCTTCGTCCTGGGGATCCAGAGGCACGGCGCGCGACCGCGCCGTTTGGCACCGTGTCGCGCTGAAGGAGTTTGCCAGAATTCAGAGGTTCGGAGTCTCAGACTTCTGCGCGGACTTCGACGCGTTTTGCTAGAGAGAGAGTAGCGCCAGGCGTCCTGTGTCGCGAGGCCGGGGAGAGCGGCGTGCATTTTTGGTATTGCTGCATGTGCTGTCGCTCTTTCTGCACAGGACAGCGTGGAATTGCATTCGCTGGCGCGGACTCACAAGCGCCCCCAGCGACTGGGGCTATCTTAGCAGGATGCAGCCTGGCAGCCACTTCCGCCGAGGTGGTGCTGTACAAAGCATTGCTCGCGCTCTCCTCCGCGTTCTCGTCTGGAGCGGATGATGTTTCTCTACAAATGCTGGGGGGCGGTTAAGTAAATTGACGAGCGTGCGAGAGTCGCGGGGATTACGCCGAAGGGCGTGCTTGATGGATGATCTGGAGCTAGCCATGTCGGGTGAGAAGAACAGCATTGCGCCTTGCCAAGAGGTTAACAATGGGCCCCCAGCAGACTGGAAGGTCCCGACGCTGCCCTGCATTGTCTCTGCGAGGCACCTGGGGCCGCGGCATCGCGGCCAAAGCGGTCAGGAGGGCCCCGACGGCGCATAGGAGATTCAAGAGTGCGCCTAGGAGGC